ATAGCGCTCTCCGGGAATGGAATAATGTCCACAAAGCAATTACTTGCAAAGTCTGGAGGGAGATGCAATTTAAATTTTTACTCAGAGCGTATTATGCCCTTTATGCAAATATCCTTGTCCCACCCTAACACATTATATCTGATCATTCTTCCATCCATCTTATCCATTCAGTGACCCTCCACTTCCCTCCATTCAGGTTTTTTACCCTTCCGACCTTCTTCCAGTCATTTTCCCTTGTTTTTGACCACATATTCCATGTTGCAGTCTGTTCACAAACAATGCCCTCATTCGGAGTAGTTGTTTGTCTACCATTATGTTTAGCGATTGAAACTTGTTGAGTTTTGTATATCTGCATTTGAGTTTTTGTCTCAAGACAATGTTTATACTCTTTGAATACTTTAATAAAAATTACATGCTTAAAAAAAAAAGAAATACCAAAATTGGGCATCAATAAGGTAATACCATTTATGAGCCCCCCCAATAGGAGAGTTATGCAAAACATATTATGCAAAATATATAAAGACCATATTGATCAGATTCAGCCGGTCTAAAAGAAGTAATACTGACTTGTGCGAATTAGTAGCAAAACCAGATAAATTACCAAAATGTATTTTAATGAACATGAGTGAATGAATGGAGTACATTGTATCACCCAGGAAAAGAAGCGCATCATCTGCATACAAAGCATTTTTTCTGCCCTCTCCGAAATACGACAATTTCTCCAGAATGTCCCTTCTTTGACTCCGGATCCTCCCAGCTCCACCCCCCTGGCTCTGCTTCCCAGCTCCAAATCCTGGCTGTGTCTCCTGACTTCTTCTCCCAGCTAAGGTACCACTCTGATGGGGACAGCCAGTGTAAGGGGGAACTCTGATGGAGACTGCTCGTGTAAAGGGGCACTCTGATGGGGATAGCTAGTGTAAGGGGGCACTCTGATGGGGACACTCTGGGGCAATGCAAGGGGACACTCTGATGGGGACAATCAATGTAAGGGAGCACTCTGATGGAAACAATGTAAGGGGGTACTCTGGTGGGGATAAGCAATGTAAGGGAGCACTCTGACAGGGACAAACAATGTAAAGGGGCACTCTGATGGGGACAATGTAATGAGACACAATGATGGGGACAAGTAATATAAAAGAGGGCACTCTGATGGGGACAAACAATGTAAGGGGACACTCTAATAGGGGCAACTAATGTAAGTAGACACTCTAATAGGGACAAACAGTATGAAGGGGTACTCTGATGGGGAAAAACAATGTAAGGGGGCACTGTGTCTGGGAAAGCACACAAGCAGCTATGCATTGTAGTGCAGCTGCTGGTGTTAAAGGAGAACTATGAGATGAGTGATTTCCACTCACCTCATAGTTCTAAGCCGACCTGTGACAATGAGACTGTCACAGGTCGGCTCAGTAGATCGGGAGGTGAGGGAACACATACCGGGTTCCCTCACCTCTCGATCCTGTCACGGCTCTCTGCCGTGACAGGGGGAGGGGCTGGATTCCCCTCTCCCCGCTCCGATCTGCCAGCGCTGACTGGCGGAACGGACGGGGGAGGGGGCGGGTACAGCTGGCTCTGCCTCTAGATAGGCAGAGCCAGCTGTCACTCACGCAGCTGGGCGGATCCCGTCATCTACGTCGGGATCCGCTCCAGGTGCGGCGTCTCAGTATACCGCGAGCTGTAGCTCGCGGTATACTGAGCTTAGGGTAACGGGAGGACGCTAGTTTGTGTCCTCCCGTTACCCTAAGGAAAACTATGGGGAAAAACACTGACCCCATAGTTCTCCTTTAATGCAGCCTAAATAGCGGACCATGGTCTAGAAATGAACTGGGTGACTTTTCTCTCTGGACTGCAATCTGGACCTTGGCTCAATGAAAATCACACTTTTACCACTTGGGTCTATTTGACAATGTCTGCAGAAAAACTACTTGAGTGGAGTTTAAAATACTAACTCCCCTAGAAAAGGAGGAGTACACAGAATGATACTGAACAATAAATTCTAGGAAACAAGCTGTGTGTCATAAAAAAGAAAAAAAAAAGGGGGGGGGGGGGGGGAGAAGACATAGGGTAGATGGGTAGTATGTCTCTAATAACTTTGCACATCTAGACTTTTGCAATATTTGCCCTCTCTTTTTTGCAGAACTGCCCACGTTCACTTAAATTTGATGGTGAACGTTTGTGGACTGCAGTCTTCAAGTCATTCCACAGATTTTCAATGCTGTTTAAGTCTGGGCTCTGACTATGCCATGCAAGGACATTCACCTTTTTCTCATTCAACCACTGTGTGGTCATATTTGCTGTGTGCTTTGTGTCATTGTCATGTTGGGAGGTAAACCTTCTTCCCACTGACAACTTTCGGACAGCAGATTTTCCTCAAGAATTTGGCGATATTTTGCCCCAACCATTTTTCCTTCTATCCTAACAAGTGCTCCAGTCCCTGCTGCAGAGAAACACCCCCATAACAGGATATTACCACCTCCATGCTCTACTGTAGGAATGGTGTTATTTGGATGGTGAGCTTTATTGGATTTCTGCCAGACATATCATTTGGTGTTGAGGCCAAACAATTCAATTTTATTCTCATCTGACCATAACACCTTTTTCCATGTAGCCTTAGAACCTTCAAGGTGCATTTTGGCAAAGCTCAGTCGTGACTGCATGTGTCCCTTCTTGAGGAGTGGCTTTTTTCTTGCAACCCTCCCATACAAGACACATTTGTGGACAATTTCTGATATGGTTGTCGCATGCACACAATGACCACTCTTTTTCATAAATTCTTGCAACTTCTTCACAGTTGCTCTAGGCCTCTTGGTAGCCTCTCTGACCAGTTTCCTCCTGGCTCTTTCATCCAGTTTGGAGAGACGTCCTGATCCAGGGAGGGTCTGTGTTGTACCAAATACTTTCCACTTCTTAATAGACTTCACTGTGCTTCTAGGCATTGATGAAGCTGTTGAATTTTTTTTGTATCCATCTCCTGACTTGTGCCTGTCCACAACTTTATCCCGGAGATCATTTGACAGTCCCTTGCCACCCATAGTTGATTGTTTGCTTCAGTTGCACTACAAGGGACTAAAATGCTCCAGGAAAGCTCTTTTCAAACTGAGCTAATCAAAATGAGAACAGCCGATCACAGTTGCAAGTCAAATTACTTTTTGTGCCATTGAGAAGGGGATTAGCTACACCTGATTGAGTTTACAAGTCATCTTTAGGAGGGAGTGATCCTTTTTCCAACGGGGATTCCGTTTCTGATTTTTTTTTTTAATTCTGACATGTTGGTGTTATATCTTACACTTGGTTGTTATAAGTTGCACTGAGTAAATACAGCTGGATAAAACAAAAACAACACGTTACAAAGTGCATTGACATACATTTTCCATTCTTTAACTGAGCCCTCCTGTTATATTTGGAAGAAAGAGTGACTTTTTTGAAAATGCATCCTTGGGGCTATTTACCTTTTTCATATACAAATATATATATATATATATTCTCTCGAGTGCAGTAGTCTGTGGGGAAAGGGTTTTCTTACATTAATGGGCAAAAAATATGTCAGCATTTTAATTTTGACTGAAGCATCACACTGGCATGTGGTTTGTTGAAAACAAGAAGTGGTATTATTGAATACTGGACAGCTGTTTGACCTGTCCCTTTTATGGACTTTATTTACTTTATTTTTTGGGACTTTTTTTCTGTGTGTTTTAAATTATTTATTAAAATGAGTAAAATCGAGTGTAAAAACTTTAGTACTTTGCAATGTGTTTCACAGCAATGCACATCCATTGTTAAGGTGCCATTCAGAATGAATGGCACCACATAGCACGAATCAGTGTAACACAAAAAACTGTGCATTGTAGACATGTGCAATTCGTTATATTCCGAATTCAAATTTCGAGCAATATCGGCAAATTTAGACATTCAAATGCATAGCAGGCCACATGCCCTCAACATGGGGAGGGTGCTTTGCCAGGGGGGGGACTCCTGGAAAAGCACCTTGTCCATATGTCAATGAGGACAAGGGCCAATTCCCCACAACCGTGGCCCGGTGGTGGAGGAGTGTGCGGGCAGGGGAGCTTGTAGGAATTTGTGAAATGGGGCACCCAGATGCCGACCCCCCCCCCCTTGTGAATGAGTAAGGGGTAGTTGTTACCCCTACTCTTTGACCAAATATCATAATATTTGTAAAACACACAACACCATGAAAAAGTCCTGTATTTAAAAAAATGTCGTCCAGCAGTGTAGATCCATGTCAATCACAATGGACAATGGCCGCCGACTCACCAAAGAAAAAAATACCCAACGCCCGTCAACACGACCGATCCCTACTAACTCTTGCTGCAAAATGACAGCTATGCTCCTGAATGTCAACAAAGGGGCAGAGAGCTGCCATAGAATGTCAACCAAAGGGGTCAGAGCTGTAATTTTGCGGCAAGAGTTTGTCGGGATCGGTCGGTGGGCATTGGGTATTTTTTTATTTTTTTTTGTCACTTTTCTGCAACTAATTTTCGTTCATAAATATCGTTTTAACACATCCAAAATTAACGAAGGTTTGGACATATCTGTGTATTAGAACAAATTGACTTTTGGATCGGAATCCCGAAGAACGAAATAATGAAAAATCAAAAAAGAAACAAACCAAAACAAATTTTTTTGCCAGCACACATGTCTAGTGCCAAGTGTTGTGGTAGTGCACGATTGTTTATTAAATGTTCGCTGGAGACAACCAGACTTATTTTCATTCATTTTATTGTCTGATTCCACCCAAGCTCGCAAATCCCATTTCTGGAAAATAACAATGGCATATATAATGGAAAGACTGAGGGCTCTCCCATACTCTATCCAAAACTAAAAAAAGTTTTGGCTTCAGTTGTGCTTTAATGGCTACATAACAGATTGGTGTTGTTTTACAGTATATCTTCCAGGAGATTAGCTTTAAGGCAAGGTAAATTAGGTGATAAACCACATAACTATTCTGTTTTCATTCAAGAAGTTTATTTTTCCTTCCATAGTCTTTAATTGAAATTGGAGACCCTTCAAAAAGCTTGGGAAATGTGTGTGGATGGGCATATCAGCAACAGAAACCTGATTCTGACCATGCTGAATATCACGATCATGCAATATTTCTTACAAGAGAGGATTTTGGACCTTCTGGAATGCAAGGTCAGTGTGCTATTTTGATTATGGATTATCACTGTCATTTAATCACATTTTTTTTAAATGAGGGTTTGTTTCTGACATTTTATTAGAACTGATGAAGTGGCTTGGATAAACTATGACATGTCTTTAACATTACAGAACAAGTCCAGTTGAATGTGGCCAACTACTACTAGCTGTGTAAAATACAACAAAGTGCAGTAATTCTTTTAAGATCTCTTATCACAAAGCAAAACTAACATTTTCTGATCTTAATAGGGCTTATAAGAATATTGACAGAGGCAATTATGGTTAAAAAAAATGTAACAGATCAAAAACCTTAGAGAAAACACATTTCCTGATCTTAATAATGACATAGTTTTTTTTTGCCAAAAGTATTTTTGTTTAACTCTCTTCCTTCTTTTCCAGCATTACAAGAGGTTTTGTTTAGGTATTTGGAATTTGGGGGTTAATTATTAGCTATATTATGTCATATAGCTTTGATAAGATCTTTTTAATTTATGTTATATGGCAGTCATTTATGACAGTGTCATGATACACTATACAATTTTTATTATCTTTTCTTTCCTGCCCATGGTGCCAGTTTTATTAATATTATTATTGTATTTATAAGATTGTGTAAGCATACTTAGCATTCTAACGTGTTAAGGCACTGTCCTTTGAATGTTTTTTGAATGTTTGTTGTGTGTACTAGTTGCTAACATACACTCTCCCTTGTCCCACCCATTGGTCTAGTTCTGCGACACATTGTTCATGACAACTGATCACATGATCAAGTTGTCATAGCATCAGTGCATAAGCCCACTAGTGATGCTAGGACCAAGCCTTTGTCAAGCATTTGGCATTTAGACCTAGTTTGTGCTCTGACCTAGTGGCATTTTTCATACCTACCTTATTTGCTACACTGTGGACCTTGCCGTTCTGCACAGCTGGTGTATAAAACAACTCTACATGTGCATTGGATGCACACTACATACTTACCGTCTTGGACAATGAACATGTGTGAGATCGACCCTTTTCACATTTACCCCAAATCAGAATATTTTAATGACTATCTCTTTGTTTGAATATGGACACATTTCCAGCATTCAGTGAGGAATGTACAAGACCATTTGCTCCTTCGGATTTCTGTGTGCAATTGACAGAGTGCATACAACTAATAAGCACCCTTTCCTCCTCGGCTGCACTATATTCCTTAAATATACTTGATGGGAGCCTGTCTCAAACATGTTTTTTTGCAGTTTGTATAACCTAAGGTAGTCTTTTTGATGGGGGGTTTTGGATATTGACATTTAAATGTCAATTCTCACATTTTGATGATCTACATTGTGGGTCCACTGTGGTATTTATTTATATTGGCAAACTTTTTAGATTCCTATTATGTGATAGTGTGTCTATACTCCTGGATCTCTTTTTCACTTTAGTATCTATTATATCTACAGTATATTACTATATAATACTGAACAACATGAAAAAGTATACCATTATTATACTTGCTATACTTCATTCATAACAGCAGATTTAGTTTTATCAGAACATCAAACCAATAAAAAAATGCCTATTGTTTGGATGTGCTTGTTTTGCATCATTAAAATCAGACTCTAATATTGTTCAGAAAAAATCCTCTGTTAAGCAATTTGCAAAGCAAATTTTTGGAAACCCAATTACATATTTTACCTGTGTCTGTTTTGCAGATACTAAGACATATCATTCTTGAAAGTAGGCAGGTCAGCTTATTACAATCCCATGATCAGTCTCCGTGTAATAAGAAGTACCGTATTTGCCAGCGTATAAGTCGACCCCCTACTCTTTGTGTTAAAATATAGGTTTTATATGCACAAACTAACCTCCATGGTGGTATTCCCGAGTGTGGCTCGGGGTTAATTTTCAGTACCATAAGTGGTAGCCGTGATTAGCTCAGTGCTGAGCCAATCACGGCAGGCTTTGCATTCATTAATACAGGCTTTGTATTCATTAATACAGGCTTTGTATTAATGAATACAAAGCCTGTCGTGATTGGCTCAGCGCGGTATACAGTATACCCGGCGTATAAGACAACCCCCGATTTTCGGGCAGTGTTTTTGGGTCTTATCGGAGTGAAACTGTGAGTAAAGGAAGCTGGGACGGGGCTGGCTGTAAATCTATTGCTATAGTGTACTCGACGTGTGTACTGTATATGTAGTATATATATACACAGCACAAACCTCCACTACACTCCAGAAATAGTTACAATTCTCCACTGCTAACATGAATAGGTTAAACCATGATCCATAGTACATAACATGTAGTTGTACTATGGATCATTTAAAGTCACCTGTCCCTTTTAAGAAAAAGTATCGGTAATTGGTATCGGCAAGTACATGAGGGGATGTACTTGTACTTGGGCCTGAAAAAGTGGCATCGTGACATCCCTACTAAAAACCCATCTTATACGCCGGCAAATACGGTAGTGATGGGTTTGATGTTCGAGTTCAACAAGAGTTCGACTCGAACATCGGTACTTCGTGTTGAACTCAAACATCGCTAGTTCATGTGTTCAGCGAACACACAAACTATCAGGGCATTCGGCGGGCTGTTTGCATGCTGAGCTCCCCACAAGGCACTGTGCACCGCACAGTGCCTTGTGAAGCCCTGATTGGGTAAAGTCTTGCACCTGACCACAGGTCAGGTGCAAGACTTTGCTCAATCATGGTCGAGTGCACTGAAGAACCATGATTGGGCAAAGTAATGATGACTTTGCCCAATCATGGCTCAGCTGTCACCGCTAGCTCTGCCCAATTGTTTATATTTTGCCAGCATCTGTCAGAATGCGGCGGGAGTTTGTTGCGAGCGGAAGGGGTCGGCAGGCGTTGGGTTTTCTTTAAAAAATGATATTATTTCTAGTTATTTTTTCCTGTTTTATTTTTTATTTCGTCGAGTCATTGCCGTCGTCATCGTGGACAGCGCTGGATGTCGTGATTGACCCTAGGATTACGTCGGTGGATCCATTTTTTTTGGGCGGGGAGTTTAACAATAAAGGACTTGTCAAAAGTCTTTGTTGTGTTTTTATTTCAAATAAATGATTTTTTAATAAAAGTCTGGACTTTTTAGTTAAATTTATTTTAACATTTTAGTGAATGGACACTTATTCACAAGGGGGGTCGCACCTGAGTCCCCCTTAATTATTTTTTACAATATGCATATAAAGTTACAAACATCACCCACCGAAGTGGGGGCACATACTTAATACAACATTATTAAGGCCGCAACTCAGCTTGGCTCAATACGGCTCAGTGTCCTAGTGTCAGAGTACACTGTCATCTCCTAACGCCCCCACATGGAAGAGGCACTGTGCTGCACACAGATGGAAAGAGGTCAGCAACACCAGGAGATGGCAGCGCACCAGCATAGAATAGCCCAAATGCCATGGGGGTTAGCATTGGCCCAGAGATGTTTGAGATCAGAAGTCAACCCTCACACACCCAGGGACAGCCCAAAGCATTTACCATTCAATGTGTGATCGTCCTCAAGTTAAGGTCGTCCAGTGGCCCCAAACCCTATCAAACTTCTTCGGACATCCCCTACTGATATAAGCTGCTTTATATAGGTGTATAGGGGCGTCCACAATGCCCCTCCACTCCGCCAGAGAGGGGGGATTTTTTCATTTCCAGTGCAGCACTATCAATTTTCTTGCATAAAACAACAGCACCCCAATCAGTGTACGTAGGGCAATGGTAGGAGCAGCCTGTTCAGTGAGTCACAGCAGACACATAGAGATGGTGAACAGGATGGGGAGTGCTATCACCTGTGATATGAAGTCCGAGACTGATTTCCAGTACCCTACGATCCCCAGAAAATGTGCCTGAAGTCTGCTGGCTGTGCCAAGCAGCGCCAGCAGGAGAAGGAAGTATCCCTGTATATTTTTGACAGTCGTGCAGGCGTGTAATATACTCAATGCAGGATTTTAAATTGTATGAGACGGTCTCGAACCGATACCAAGTGGGAGAAGGGGTAATCCCACACCTCCTCCAAGGCATCATCCAAAAGGTTTGGTACATCCACTACCCACTTCAGTCTGCAAGGAAGTTTATGGACACCCGCTGTAGCTGACAGGGCCTGGTACACCAGAGATAAGGGCTTTTTTAGACCCTCCCGCCGAAGGAGGGATTCCAAAGGCGAAACTGTAAGGGCTCAGTGAGATCCCCCCATTTGTGTCTGGTAAGCATGCCATATCTGAAAGTATCTAAACAAGTAGTTGTTCGGAAGGTTACATTTCCCCTGTAGTTCTGCGAAGGAGGCCAGTGAACCGGTCAAAGTTAGATCCCCCACGGTCTAAATTCCCCTCTCCGGCCAAATATGGAAGTCAGAGATATCCATAAAGTGCCACAGTTTCGGGTTATTCCACAGAGGGGCATGTGGCGATATGAGTATTCTCAGGATATAGGATTTTGCACACCTCATCCCAAGCCTTAAGAGTTGCCGTCATGGAAACGGTCATAGGGTATGGCGCACCCACCCCCCTATAAACCAGCCCGGTCAAGGCTGCATATGATCGGACCAATGCTGCCTCCGTCACCACCGCCGCATCACTATCTTCCGCAGTTAGCCAACAATGTACCACCACCAGCTACTCAGCTAAATAGTATTTTTTAAGGTTGGGCAAGGCCAAGCCCCCCTGTGTCCAGGGCTACTGGAGGAGACTGAGCTTAACCCGCGGAGTCTTGTTATTCCATACAAAGGAGGAGAACAGCTGATGAATCTTTTTTAAAAAGGCATACGGTATATGCATAGGAGAGTTACGTAGAGCAGGACAGGGAGTACCTTCATTTTGATAAGATTAGTGCGTCCAATTAGAGTCAATGGCAGATGCATCCACGCCTCCAACCTGCGCTTAGTGGTAAGGAGTAAGGGAAGCACATTCATTGTATAATAGTCCCCTACATTGGCAGTAATGGTGACCCCCAGGTAAGTAAGCCTATCAACCCACTGGAGAGGGTGGGCTGGGTCTGCCTGTGAGCGTGTCAGGG